AGAAAAGTATGTAAAAAATGGATTCTTCCTCTTCGTAGTAAAGCTATACAATAAATAAATCAATATGTTGTCATTTAACAATATGGCAACTTTGAGTGCAAAAAGAAGAATGGATCTGACACATCCTTTCGTAAAACATACAAAACAATAACGCACCGAAGTTCCTATCTGCAGCATTGGTTTGGTCATATAAGATTTCTTGGTTTTCCCCAGCAAATGTAGCAAATGGAAGGTGTTACAGTGTTTCTTAATGGAAAGCATTCTTCTTTGCTGTAAACGAATAACAAATAAAATTTATAAACATATTAATGTATAGTGTGCAACAAATATAAAATTGGATAGATACAAAACGAATATATGGCGCAGATATATAGGGATAGAGAGAGAGAGAGAGAGAAAATCAACAGAGAATTATAGCAAGCACACACCTGGATTGGTTCGTCTCGCGTAGCCTCTCTTGCCGAAGCTGTACTGGCCGTAGTTGGTGCTCCCAAGTCGCCTCTCGCCAGGGAAATTTCTCCTGCGGGTGATGACCAGCTGAGGCGCAGCGTCGGCCGCGAGGAACAGGAGGGACACGAACATCAGTACCAGGAACTGTGGTTAGGAGTGGAATGGGTACATTACGATTGCGAGTTCGACTTCTGTTTTCTCTTTGTATTGATATTTGGAACCGTATTGGTGAGTAGTGGGTAGGGTGTGAGGTATTTGATTAGCTTTCGACAACTATCAAAATTGATATCTGTTCATCCGCCAATGTTAGTTATTTCTGTTGTTGATATTTTGCGTGTTCAAGTGGAAAGATGTGGGGTTTTGATACTTACAGTTATCTTCATGGCGTTCGGTTTTGGAAATTTCTTCTCTGCCACGTCTGGACAGAAAAACAATAAAGAGTGAGACACAAATGTCTATCCAAAAAAACAAACACATGCAAAAAGACAAGCTTAAGTCACATAATAAGTAATTTCATATGAATATATATTGTGTTTACAATAAAGATTATATATAAACACACGGATACACATATCGTATTCTGCCGAACGTTTTTTCGCCGACGAACTATTGGCCAAAAAGACATCTCCGACAGACACGATGCCGTATCTACAGTATACCGTTGTTAATGGATCGTTAACAGCAGTATGCTGTAGTCAGTATTTTCAAGAGAACGAAATATACTAAACAAAATAAAAAATAATAAAATAATTTAAACTACAGTATGACTTCAGGTCAAAAGAGCTCAGGAACTATGAACTTTTGATCGGGAATGCAGATTAAGTACAGCGTTTTCTTTGCGACAGCTCCTCTTAATAACAGCCCCGGTAACGTCGACGCTCGTCATTCGACATCGACGTATGCAGAAGGCCTTCCTAGAATAAATTCTCTAGAAGGTTGACATAGAGGATTCGAATAACAAAAAGAATGTCAGGCACCCGAAAAGATTGTTGACCCGGGGAGCTTCCGACTAAGGCGGGAGTAGAGCTGAGGAGGCCCGTTGGGAAGTATTGGTCGGTGGGAGACAGGCTAAAGTATCGCTTTGGCACGTATTGAGGACTTTGAAAATATTGACTTTTACAGTCACATTTTATTCAATTCTAATTATTCATTTAGTTGTGAATAAACGCTTGTATTTATTCGTGTATTTTTCATTTTTTTTCATGTAAATATTTTCTTGACTTATGATTTTGACTCGGTATCTGTCGACGTTATGAAAACGGCCACAAGCTTATTTATACTGCGAATGGTATATATAATTCGGCCAAGTTTCTGTCGGCGAAAAGTTGGGAAGCTCACAGCACAGATCGATGAATATTTTTCTATCAATATACCGGTAAACTCACATGCAGGGCTGAGTTGTGTATGACTCTTCTGTCGGCGAAAGGACTGAAACAACTGAAATGCAGGTGCCTGTCTATCATCTTATATGATTCCTATTAACGCGGATGCCAAATCGCTTCTTTGGTCCTTTATGCTAAGCCGTATGATTTACGTCAATCATTACCATACATTTACAAACCTATCACTCTTAGAAAGTGATGCATTTTTGTCGTGCATTCTATTAGCCAAAACAAGCGAAAAAGAGGGAGGGGAACAGAAAAAAATAAATCGTTAATATATATACTTTTTTACTATTCGTATTCGTGTTTTAAGACAATAGAAGTATGTTCATTTCATTCATGAAGCTAAGAACACTACTAAGGTATTCACAAAAAACGGTAGGCTTAAGTAATTGTCATATGAATAGCCATTAAGATGGGTAACCTTTAACAAACCAGGCCCTTGATTACAGGATCAGAATCTGTGATCATTTGCTGGCCATATCAGTAACAGGGGAAATAAGAAAAGGAAGAAGCGGCAGAGAAGAAAGACCGCATTAATGTAAATAATACTTGAATGTACCGATAGAGAAAGCATTATTCCTTTTAAGAGACAAATATTCTATATCCATGAGTTTACACCAGTTCACGCCGGTCGAATGACGCAAATCACAGCATTACTAAATCTGTGACGTATTTCCCGAACATTTCGAAATATTCAATATTCTATTTAAATTCCCGCCGGAGTTAGTTCATTCCGGTAACAAGGTTATTCTTATAGATACGTATCCGCCCGCCCTCTCTCTCCTATTCAGGTTAATTATTAGATGGAAATCAAATTCATTATATCGTCTTTGATGTTATAAAAAAAAAAAAAAAAAAAAAAAAAAAATCATATTTCACCTTCCAACGAATTTTCAGAATTATATCTTGCTTCCTCTGTCACTTATTTGATAACTGGTATCAGACCTTTCATTATGTAATTTCAAAAATATAGAATATCTTGGTAATGGAAGACTCTCCTTTTTGTCTCTCTACTCACAAAAGATTAACAGGAAAACGATTAACTAATGACATCCATGTACAGCAACACATCAACTACATAATATGTCATTCATGTATCATAAATATATTTGTGAAAGCGTCTGAGGGAAGCTTAACCTGCAACCTACGTCAGCAATATTCATCAATGCAATATAAAAGTGAGTGACGTCGGTACGCCAATACTCTTTGGGTCAATTTCAGTTCATGTAATCATCTACTTCGTCCATATAATCAAATGTTTTTTGGTTCTCTGTCTCTCTTCAGCCACATTATGTCCTCTATTTTTCTCCTTTATCTAAAATTAATATTATAAAAAAATGTTGAGAATGAATGTGTACATTTTTAATTGTGGGTTTACAACATATATATATATATATATATATATATATATATATATATATATATATATATATATATATATATATATAGTGTGTGTGTGTGTGTGTGTGTGTGTGTGTGTGTGTGTGTGTGTGTTTTATATAAACTAAAGATTTCTTAGATAATATTACTATTTGGAAATATTTCACTATTGCAAAGTAAATATGGCAGTTGTCTTCTGATCTGAGTTTTATGTGGAGCGTCCATGTTTTTACCATTTACTGACCACATGATTCACCTGTTGTTTGTTTGGGTCCCTGCCTTTCCCATAGACTGTGACTGGATTCTGAAGCCATGCGCCCCTATGAATTATTTTTCTTTTTTTGAGCGCATTTCATCATATTAAAGTGACATCCTCGTGTTTTGCTCTGCGAGAATATGCAGTTTTGAGATCTACCATAGCTTGTACTTCGACTTGTGTAAGACTTTACCCAATAAGCAAGAGAGTCTGAGAAAAAGGTTGGTTCCTTAGACTAAGTTTTTATTAGTTACAGAATTCGAGTTTGGATCACGAGGTGCAAATAGGCAAGGGTCCGGATTCCTCGAGGATCTAAAACTTTATATTCTATGTGAGTCCTTGATAGTAATATTTGTTTGTTTCTATATTTGATTAAGTCAACTCTGAGGATGATGAGGGATATCTCCAAATCCTATTTCACAATTTTCACTAGTTTCTTTCCACCGTTTCTGCATTCCTTGTGTAAGGTGACATCCTAGTTCTCCTCATCTCGGGCTTTCGAGAGCATCCCCTCGCCACTCGTTTCCCGTCGTTCGGCTGCGCCCGGATCTCGCTTGATCGCTCCTTTTCTTTTGGCGGAGGTCTAATCTTTTCATTTGGCCTTTTATTTTGGTCTATTGTTTTTATAGTTTTAGTGGTTTCTCCTCTATATAGACTTTTTTTTTTTCTTTTTTTGCTCGATTTTACACACTCATTGTATTTGCTTCTTTCTTGAGACACGGAAGTCCGTTTTTACTTGATTTTCTGTCTCTTGATTTAATTATTTTATTTCATTTACATTATTATCTAATCTTTCGAGTATTTTATACTCATCATTTTTTAGTTTTATCTTTTTGTTTGATATTTTTAATTTCATTTTAACTTGGGGCGGGAACGCTGTGAAGCGGCCACGCCCCCAGAAACGAGAGATGTTAAGTTCTGTGTGCTGACGTTTGTTCTTTCTGAGCTGGACGTGATCTTTTGTTTTTCTCTTATTTGTTTTACATACATCTTAATCAGTTAATTAAATTGAATTTACTTTTTATTCAGTATAAAGTAAGGAGTGGTTTTAACTAATGTTTTGTATTTATTTTATTTTATGCATAACTGTTAAGCTAAACAATTTCTAGTCTTTATAAAAAAAATTTTTTCTTTTCTTTGTTTGCTTGTTTGTTTGTATCTAGATGCCCACGCTAACACAACGCAACATCTAGACACTGTGAACCCACATTAATACATATATCAATAGCCACAGCAAAAAAACACCTCATACTTGTATTACATTTGACAATTTATGTTCAATTTTGTATTTCACATCTTCAAGTCTCAATAGTTTGTTGCGCATTTCATTTTTTTTGTTCGTGACAGAGGACAATCATTGACGTTTTCACTCCTTGGCAAGATCCAAACTCCAGTTCCTTAACTAATCAAAACTAATGAGCCATCTAAAGTCTCTTGGTCAATTGGTAAAGTAGTATTCAAATCAAGTCGAAGTACAAACCGGTGCCAGAACTCCACATTTCAAGATATCACATGGATGGCATTTCCCAATGAGTTTCTCGGGAAAGTACCCTGTTTTGTTTTTACTAGAGGATATTCACTCTACAAAAGAAATTTTTACTCAAAGAACAGCACTCTTCGGAACCCTAGCATACTCTCAACAAACAACAGTTGAAGCTCGTGATCAGCAAATGGTGAAAACAAAGACGCTCTACTCATATGAGAAAACAGTTATAATTGCTAGATGTACTCTGCATTGTTGTAATATATTTTAGCAGTAATATTGGCTGCCATTGTAAGGTATAGGTAAGGTAAGGTAAAATAGATTAGTAATAAACAATCTTTAGTTTATAAAAAAACAAAAACAAATATGTTGACTCACAATTAATAATGTACACATTTCTTCTTAACAAATAAAATACTAAATTTAGGTAAAGGAGAGAAAGGGAGAGAGAAAAGAGGGACAATACTATGGAGAGAGAGAGAGAGAAAAAAAAAAGTAAATTGATTATATAGACAGACAAGATGAATGCATGAATAGAAATTGCCCCAAAGAGTATTGGCGTACCTACGTCATTTTGACGTCACTCACTTACATGATGCATTGATGAATATTTCTGACATATGTCTCAAGCCTTTGGATCCGCCAGACGTTTCCAAAAATATATTTATGATACATGAATGACATATTATGTAGTTGTGTTTCTGTACATGGACGTCATTAGTTAATCGTTTTCCTATTACGCTTTTGTGAGCGGAAAGACGATAGAAAGTCTGAAATTATCAAGATATTTTGTATTTTTGAAATGACAAGGTTAATAGGTCAACGATGATTTTTAAATAAGTGTCAAAAGAGGGAGACAAAAGTTATTGCGGAAAATTCGTTAGTGATATGCGATTAAAATAAGAAATAATATCAAATACTTAATTTTCATATCCAGGATAGGAGAGAAAGGGCGGGCGGATACGTATCTATAAGAATAACCTTGTTACCGGAATGAACTAACTCCGGCGGGAAATGAAATAGACTCTGCCATCCTATCTTCGCTATCATGAATATTTCGAAATGTTCGGAAATGCGTCACAGATTTAACAATGCTGTAGTTTACGTCATTCGACCAGCGTGAACTGGTGTAAACTCTCATGGATATAGAATATTTGTCTTCTAAAAGGAATAATGCTTTCTATGTATCCGGAAAATTCTAGTGTTGTTTTCATTAATGCGGTCTGTCTACTCCTGATGCTTTTCTTTCTCTCTTTCTCATATTACTGATATGGCTAGCAGATTATCACAGAGTCTGATTCTGTATTCAGGGGCGCAAGGAAAATTACCTGCTTTGTTAAAGATTGCCTTTCTTAATGGCTATCGATAAGTCGGCAGATGACAATTACTTAAGCCTCGCCGTTCATTTGTTAACATCTTAATATTGCTCTTCGCTTCATGAATGAAATGAACACAATTCTGTTGTTCTGAAACATGAATACAGATGTTTTAAAAGTTTTATTTTGAATGAGCTAATTTATGATTCCTGTTCCCTTTCCATATTTTCACTCCCTTTGGCTAATGGAATACAGGACAAAAACGCATCACATTCCAAGAGTGATCAGTTTGTAAATGTATGGAAATGATTGACGTAATCCATACGGCTTAGCATAAAGGACAAAAAGTCGATCTGGCATCCGCGTCAATAGGAATCATATAAGATAGTAGACAAGCGCCTGTATTTCAGCTGTTTCAGTCCTTTCGTTGACAGAAGAGTCACAGACAATTCACCCTTGCATGTAAGTTTAGTGTGTGAGCTTTCGGATTTTTCGCCGACCGGACGCATCGTCGCATCGAATATAGTACATGGAGTCCAGAAAAGTTTAAAGTGGCCATTTTCATAAGAAAGGCAGATAGTGATTCAAAATTGAAATGCTAGAAAAACTATAAATGAATATGCATGATATATTCAAGTATTCCTTGATAACAAAAAGAAAAAATGCAATAAGTCAAAACAAGATCATAAAAATCAGGTTTTCATAGCCCTTTTATATGCTTGTGTGTGTCATCCACCCACCGATACTTGCCTCCTCAGCTCCACTGACTCAGTCGTCAGCTCCCTTTCATAGCCCTTTTATATGCTTGTGTGTGTCATCCACCCACCGATACTTGCCTCCTCAGCTCCACTGACTCAGTCGTCAGCTCCCTGGGTCAACACTCCTTTAGAGTGGCTGATATTCCTTCTTTATTTGAATCCTCTGCGTCGAATAATTAAAAAAAGAGAAAATCATCTAAGGTATTCTGCGGCTTCTGTCGGGTGCCGAAATAACTGTGACGATCACTCAGGGTTGCTAGGAATGACCGTCGCAGAGATACGTGGTAACACTTGGGCTGCAACGTAACTTGTCACGGGTCATTGCCAGATTTTATTGCGTTATTTTTTTTTTAAAGAAGTAACATGATGTTTCTGTGTTTAGTATATTTCGTTCTTTTGGAATAAAAATGGTTAACAACAAACCTTTGTTTATGATCCAGTAACAGCAATAAACTGTAGCTTCGGTATCATGTCTGTTGGCTTGTGTCCGCTCGGCTAATAATCCGTCAGGGAAAACACTCGCGGAAAAGCTTGCACGCGAAAAGTGTATGTGCGTGTGTTTGCATATTTTCATACATCTCTTTATATGCACTTATGAAGTGTTCTGATGTGAATGTGTGTACGTTTTGTTCGATTCTTTTTTCTGTTTAGGTATTTGTCTAATTTTTCTAATATATTTTTTTCCAGACGTGTCAGACCTTTCCAACGCCAGGCGTCATGAAGATAATTGTAAGTATCAGTTTCGAGATACAAAATATCACTCATCTTTCCACTTGTAAAATGCAAAATATTCACAATAGAAATAACCAGCATTGACGGATGAACAGATATCAATATAAATAGTTGTCAAAAGCTAATCAAATACCTCACACACTACCTACTACTCACCAATACGGTTCCACATATCAGTACAAAGAGAAAACAGAAGTCGAACTCGCAATCAATGTACTCATTCCACCACAGTTCCTGGTACTGATGTTGGTGTCCCTCCTGTTCCTCGCGGCCGACGCTGCGCCCCAGCTGGTCATCACCCGCAGGAGACATTTCCCCGGCGAGAGGCGACTCGGGAGCACCAACTACGGCCAGTACAGCTTCGGCAAGAGAGGCTACGCGAGACGAACCAATCCAGGTGTGTGCTTGCTATATTTCTCTGTTGAAGTTTCGTCTAGTGATTTTTTTTTCGGTCTATATCCATCTGTCTCTCTGTTAGTTTATAGAACTGATAATATCTGCATCTGTCTATCAATGTATGTCTCCTTATATCCGTTCTCTGTATGCCTATTAACCTATATGTCTATTTATCTATATATCCATCTATGTATCTTTGCACACTTTTGTATCTTTTCACCTGTCTATCTACCTATATAAGCTAACAGATTACCTAATTGATTGATTAATAAAATTATCTGTCGCGCCAACAGCTAAGGTCTTTAGCAGCGAATACCTTGTTGGATTAAAAAGTTGAAATAATTAAAACTTAAATATCTATCAATAAATAATGTCTCTTGTAAGTAAAAATAAATAACAATGAATATTGTCACAATTCTCCCCTAGTGTGTATGGGTGAGGAAAGTATACTAAATTGTACATTATACTTTAAGATGTTAATTAATCTTATTTGTTATTAATTTACAGCAAAGAAGAACTAAGGAACACTAAAGCACCTTCGATTTGCTACACTTGCTGGAGAAACCAAAGGAGTTTTTTTATGATCGAAGCACTTCTGAAGATAGTACCTTTAGTGTATTATCGTTTTGTGTTTATTATGAGATGGTGTGTGTAATACACTATGCACTATAAGTTGATTTATTTATTGTTTAGCTTTACTACCAAGATGAAGAATTCATTTTTTTGTATACTTATTGTTGAAGATGACAGGGATTCAGTAACTACTGAGTGGACATTTCTATTTTAAAATGTCTTACTCCAATTCTTCGTGACGTGGAATTTCAAATAAATTTTATTTTGATATGTTTTCATTAACTTTTTTCATTTCTTTGAAGCGCCTCAATCTTAACTGTCTTTGCAGACAGAGTAACTACTCATTATCATACAGTGATATTACAGACAATACGGTAGGCCTTGTGTATATTGTTTGTCGATTTCACGGTCCAAAACAGAAGCTTTGTTTAAGTACAAAAAGCGATTATTCAATGAATCTTGACTTCATCGAAGCATCTCATTGTTAACTGCTCGTGCAGATCGCAATAAGATTTGAAAGAAAAAAAGTGCATTAGCAGGGCGAATGCCTGTCTAACATCAGCATAAAAACAGTTTTACAGCCAGGTACTAGTAGTCCTTGAACTGTGTTAATAATGAAAACAGAAGCTATGAAGTTATCTTACTTTTGTTACTTAATGTAACAGAGAGCCACCAAATATTGGTGAAGAAACTACCGAATACAGATATAAAAATAGATAGATAGAAATGTTATAGTACACATGTTTAATGCTATCTATGTCCGAAAACATCTTTTTCTATTCAATAAGTTTCCTGGAGCGAATTTGTACCTAAGAACATTGAAAAACACATTTGATAGTACACAAGGCATAGACTAGGCATATATACATATACATACATTATATATATTTATTACACACACACATACATATATATACGTATATAATATATATGTATGTATACATATATTCACACACACACGCACTCATACATACAGAGAGAGAGAGAGAGAAAAAAAAAGAAAGACAAGACTGACAAACAGATATGTCCCGTATATGTTTATATATATATGTCTAGCATCATTAATACTATTATTAATGTCAGTATTTTCATCATCATTACAATTACCATCATCATAAATGAATTATCACTAAAAATATTATTATTGCTATTGATAGACACTTTAATCATAATATTCATAAACATTATCATCATTATTCCCTCTATGATCTTAACTACTGCTATCACTGTTATAGCTGCTAGTTGCCACCCTACAATCTATAATAATCAAGGCCATAAAACAAAAGACACAATACATGCTTAATCATACTGAATCAACTGCAGAATATTAAGTATACTAGATAGTTTGGATGTAATGGATGTAATAATAGTTACATCCAAAAACTGGTTGTTTTTATAGTGAATTTGTCCTTATTTCATTCATATTTTCTTTCCTCTTTTATGAGTTCTGGTCCGAGTTTCACAGTGTCTTATAGTAGGTTACCATTACACTGCCGGTTAACTAAATAACACTAACATAACTTTGAAATGGTAAACATTTTTGTTTTGGGATACATATTTACAGGGGAAGAGAAAGAGATAGAGTAAGAGGAAGAGAGAGAGAAAGAGGAAGAGGGAGAAAAAGAGGAAGAGGAAGAGAGAGAGAAAGAAGAAGAGGAAGAGAGAGAAAGAGAAAGAGGAAGAGGAAGAGAGAGAGAGAGAGAGAGAGAGAAAGAGGAAGAGGAAGAGAGAGAGAAAGAGAAAGAGGAAGAGGAAGAGAGAAAGAGGAAGAGGAAGAGAGAAAGAGAGAGAAAGAGGAAGAGGAAGAGAAACAGAAACAGAAACAAGCATTTTTTTTTTTTATATACAGCAGGTTTATAAAAGATTAGCACTCATTTTCTCTATCCGTCCCAAAGTACACAGACGTTTCCTGGTGTGAAGCAGTACATTCTAGTAGAGTCTGGTTGAAAGTTTTATTCATGCAGGAACGTTACTTTGCGGATGGGCTTGTCTGACCACCCCTTTTTTCTGTTGCTTACGTCAGTGTATCATCTCAATGCTTATTATAAAATCACTGAGTTGTAATGTGCCTTTTATTTGTTTTATTATTTTTTTAAATCATTTTTTTTTTACTGTAATATATTTTGTTATTTCTATTTTATTGAAATTGTTAGATGTAATTCTTACCTGGATTTTGGGGAGTTATTGTTAACATGAATATCAATATGTAGTATATTATATATTAGTATAAAGGAGACTATCGAAGTATTATCCCATTATTGATGAAATAGGATCTATTCTAGAATCGATTTGAACTAGATATCTTGTCTGTGTACAGGAATGTGCCGAATGGTAGAGGAAGAAGGAAAGGAAAAGAAAGGACAAGAATAAAAGAAAAAAAAAATATATATATTATATACAGATATATACATAATGTATACCTATATGTGTATATATATATTATATATATATATATATATATATATATATATATATATATATATATATATGTATATATATGTATACTCCATTCATTCACTCACTCACACAGTATATATATATATATATATATATATATATATATATATATATATATATATATATATATATATATATATAAAATGAATGTAGTGCTTCCTTTTTTTAAAATACCGTTGCCAATTATAAGAGTATTCATCTCACGGTCACTACGACCAGACTGAAGGTTAATGAGTATTTAGTTTACACTTCGCCAATTCGACCTGGTACACTCCATTTTAATCTTTATACTAATCAATAACTAATATATTTCTACTGTTGGAGAGGCATCTTATGTATCATATATCTTTTATTAATTCTGTCGATCAAATGAACAGTCGCTTGTGACCCGTGCCTGTAGGAGCCCTGTATGCTTGGTATTTACAACTCACTCTCCCGTGGTATGATTATTTATTTATCTATTGTATTTTTATCTGTCTATTTTATTATTATTTATCTATAAGTTTATTTTATTTCTATTTATCTATCTATTATATCTTTATTTATCTATTAATGTTTCTTGATTTTGACAAATGATTACTATTTTATGTTAATCGTTCTATTTCATTTTTTAAAAATCTATTTTTCATAACCCTGATTTTAACACTATAACTAAACTCCAGCACGTATGACAGAAACACAGGTTTTAACACAGATAACTAACCTTCATTGCATAAAATCATCCAGTTCTGACATGCAAAAAGTCGCCTTTAAAGCAAATTCAGTTTCATTGTCGAGGCCCACTTTTATGCAAACAAAAGCGAACAAATACTTCAGTGGATTCAGAAACTAATTTCTAATACATATGAACTTTCTGTCACATGTAAACATTAACACGCGTAATGTATGTAATCCATGCTTTAACATCTACGGAATAGTAACTTTTAGTACATGCAAACACTTTAGTTTTAAGATATTTACACTGCATTTTATCACATACAAAAACATAACCTTCAGATCATGCAGTCACAAGTTTTTAGTATTTCAATGCGTCACCAAAAAAAACAACAACAACAAAAAAATCACTAGATGCAAATACTTGTGTTAAAACATTTACATTACACTCTAGCACTTACAAAATACTAACCTTTAGAACATGCAAACACAAGTTTTAAGACATATATACACTTTGGTTTATCACATATAGATACTAAGCTCGAGCACATCCAAGTGCAATGTTTGTTCGCACTCTGAACATCCTTTGGGAAGGCCGCGCGGTTGCTCTTAACTGAATACGAAAGGCAGTTCATTTCTAGTCCCTGCTGAAAGAGCCGAGATTTTCCCGGAGCGAGGCAGTATGTGCCGGTACGGTCTGGTTATATGCGTTATTCATGTTTTATCCGTATGTTGGTCTGAATTCACTTGCAATTGCAATTGTAATGTGACTCCTTGACGTCAGATGGGAAGAGTATGTAGTGGTGAATGCCAAATTTAGTGTTTAAAGTACTTTTTTTAAATATGGGGTTGAATCATTGAAGAAGATTCGGCATATTTTATAAAGGATAGCCAGCTAGAAAGTGCTGGATTGTAACGTTGGTGTCAAAACCTGTTTAACAAGTATTTTGAGTCACTTTCCCTTTCAATGTTTGTGTTCCTCTTCTCCCTTTTTTGTTATTGTCATCTCCCTTCTTCGTTTAGTGTGCTTTCTCTCCATTCCTCTGCCTATAGACTCACAGTAGAATATGTTAAAGCAACAGAAATTTTGAAATGTTGACATAACTACACATTGCATACTTCGTTGACAGTTGTGGGTATATACTTATGTACTTTCTGGCGCAACTTTCTAAATTTTATACTTTATTAAGTTATTATTCATTTGCTTACTTATTCACTTTTTGCTTCAAGGTTAAGTTCAATGGCTGCATTGTTCTCATGGCATCTAACTTAAAACATTTATTATTTTACGTGTGCGCATACATCTTATATGAGTAGCTGATTTATTTAATATCACTTTGTTTTATTAAATGTGTTTATTCATATATCTGTCTTTTGTGTGTAAGAGCGACACACGTAACACTAATGTATTTGCCGAGTAGATTTATTTTTTCACCTCGGGCATAAAACTATTACGTAAAAATTCAAGAAGAAATAAAATCATTCTAATTAGCTATTCAAGTTCTTGCATTTCGCATATCTTTTCTATGACCTCAAATAACCTATATTAACGAAATATAACTTTTCTTCCTGTGTGGCATCCATACACAGTCATCAGTCCGCTTGTTTATGAAAAATAATGTGTTTCATATAAATAACATAAATATGACATAAATTCTGAATTTTTTAAAAGTAATATTACTGATGCAACTGATAAAGATATTATACATATACATATATATATATATATATATATATATATATATATATATATATATATATATATATATATATGTATATATATATATAGTACCGGGCTCCCCTCATGGGCATAGCCCGGGCCGAGGCTCTGCCTCGCAAATCAGACAAAAAAAAAAAAAGAGAGAGAGAAAAAAAAAAAAAACTGATAAAGACTCGTTATATAAATTTGAAAGATTAGTGGTCTTGATAGATTCAATCAAACACTTTAAATCTATGCAAATGTAATGGTTTCTTGTGAACTAAAGACAGGAATTTTCACTTTATGCAAATTACCGTCAGTTTACATGATTTTTATGCCCATCAGTGCTTGCACTTTTCACTGCAACAAATCCTTTAGATTGTAACAAAATAACTTTAACTTTGGTATAATTGGAAATGACTCCTATCACCTTAAATACAGAATCTGAGCTTACCTAGTAGTAGAACACATCATTTATGAAAGTATACTTCTATAGAAATTTCTTCGCAAATTGATAATAACGGTAATAAAAAGGGTGTAAAATCCAGGAAACGCAGCATCCTCCCGTCCCCAGCGCCGCGACAGAGACAAAAAGTTGAAAGCGACGAAAAATCGGACGGATTCGTAGCGCATGACGGAAGCGAGGGAAATCAAATGAGCTAACTAAATTTGCGCTGGAACGTTACGTCATCATAGGCAGTGACGTCCAGCACGACAGAACCAATCAGACAAGAAATCGATCATCACGTGACAATAGAAGCTGGGCCTAGGAGAAGGCGGCTGAATTCAAACCAATTCCATCATGGCTAGGCAGTGTGTCGGGTGTGATGATAACTATTTTGATTTCATTGAAAAATATTATCGAAATAACGACGCGAGACTATTATACCCTCGAAATCACGGTGTACTGCCTGTGGAAGTACTGCGCCCGAACTGTAAGATTGATTATTTAAAATTATCTGCCGCATCAACAGGTAAGGTCATTACCGGCGAACACCTTGTTAGACTGAAATATTGAAATATTTAAAACGTTAAAAATTTATCAATAAATGTCATAAATAACAATAAATATTATATCAAAAAATCAAAACACAAACATTATGCTCTAAATCTTTAAAACTATTGCATTAACATTATGCATAATTAAATTTTATTGAAAATATTAGTTTCCCTAAGGAAACTAATAAGACCTATGTCACAATCCTCCCCTAATACATTTTTCAACGTATATGGGGGAGACAATTACCTTCTTCTTTGGTCTGAGAATGTTGCACATCTTTCCACTATATGTGCGACCGTTAATCGCTTATGGCATCCCTCAGCGTGCTTCACTCTTAGCCATCATCGGCCCATGAATCAGTCTTGTGTGCCCAATTCTCAGCCTTGTTAATACAACTTCTATTTGTCGGTTGGGATGGATGCTGGTCACCCAACTGCCAAGGTCATCTCTAATCTCTCGAAGTTTATTTCTAAAGGTATGTCTCCATTGTTCCCTCCATTTATCACGAAGACAACTCCTGATGCTGGGTTTTAAGTCAGTGTGTGGGAGGGGAAAACGAGTATCACAGGGCTGAGTGGCAGCTGACTTGGCCTTCCGATCAGCTCACGCATTCCCACTGATGCCAACATGTGCTGGCACCCAACACAGAGTTACCTTTTTCATTGCTGACATCAATGCAAGCCAATCTTGAACCTTCTTCACCACTGGATGTGATAAGTTTAAGCTCTTGATTGCTTGCAAGGCACTACGAGAGTCACAATATATTACAATGGAATGGTTTCTAAAATCTCTAGTCATATTGACTGCTGCAAGGATGGCATGCATCTGATCCTTGGTACTTAGAAGTGTAACAAAGTATTCTCTCTGATTTCTGCTTCGGATCTCTCCCCTTCCCTATTCCGACCAAATCCAAATTCAGCTCGACTTGATTGGTCCAAGGGGGGGATTGGGGAGCTCCAACAACCAGAACTTTTGTGAGATTTAAATTAAGATCTTCCATAAGATTCAAGGGGGTTGAAAACCAATCTGGATGTAGGAGATCCCGGAATCCTTTGTAGTCTCATGTAGTAAATCAGGTTCATGTAGTCCCGGTGTACTGTACAAGGTGGTTCTCCATTTTCAGCATACAGGGACTCC